CACTCTACTACCACCACTACTGCTACTCCCACTACTACTACTTCTACTTCTACTTCTACTTCTACTTCTACTTCTACTTCTACTTCTACTTCTTCTTCTTCTACGTCGACTTCTACTTCTACTTCTACTACTGCGACTGCTGCTGCTGCTGCTGCTGCTACTACTACTACTACTACTACTACTGCTACCACTACTGCTACTGCTACTACTACTACGGCTACTACTACTGTTGCTACTCCTACTACGACGACGACGACTACTACACTGGCACTCGTAGTAAGCCTTACGAACCCTCTACACGAACTCTCTCAGACTTTCCATGAAACCTCGAGCTGGACGCAGCCATTCTTGCACAGCAGCACGCAGTGGCGACCTCGAATGAAAGCCAGAACTGCGGCAGGGGTCTTGTGCAAACTCATCGGCTGCGACAGTTGCCTCAAGGCACTCCCACTTCACGAAACCCCAAACTCGAAGCTTGAGACAAGTCCAATCAAACGCACCCGAAGGACTCTGCACCTGGCGTGCCGCAAGTCACGCGGCTAAGGGTTTCTTGTAGGGGCTTAGTACCTTATGATGATCGGTTGTATAGGCTTGGGCTTCGCGGGTTTAGGATTGGATTGGGCATAAAATCCTATGTTTGAGACCCCGAAGCAACCAGCTATGCACAAAGAACCTCACATAACTTAAGCCGATGCGATGCCCGAGGCTCCTGCCGCTGACCACCGACCGTGGAATAACAACCTGCGATGAGAAATGACGATGCAAGATGGAAAGAAAGGCCAAGAGTTTAGACCTAATTGTGATGGCTATGGCTTTTGAAATGTTCAGCAATCTGATGATGCGACGACATAGATATGAACACGAATGCTGAATACGATGCAGAAGAACAATATGACGATGGTGATGTGGCTGCAGCAACAAGGATTGTGGTGGTGGTGGTGGTGGTGGTGGTGGTGGTGGTGGTGGTGGTGGTGGTGGTGGTGGTAGTCGTGGTGGTCGTGGTGGTGGCGGCGGCGGCAGTCGTGGCAGAAGGATTGTTGTTGTCGTTTCTCGCGCTCTCCACGTGCATGGTGACACGATGCGATGAGAGGCTTCCGAGGTCCATGCATGCCGAAAGACAGCCAAAGTGCGTCCCCGCCCTATGCCACGACTTCAAACCGCAAGGAAATTCAAGAGCGCAAAAAAGGCTGTAGAAGGACGCAGCTCACACTTGACACTGAAAACCAGTGAACCAACACTAATCGTCGAAGCAGATAGCAAGGTCTATCACGATGCAACCGCACCCGAAATGCAGCAGCATGTGCGTGCATTGCAAGACGAACGACATCCTCGGTACACAGTGATACGGTGCGGAGTATGTGGTGCATGAGGTCAGTCTTAATCCTAAACCCTAAACCTTAAACCCTGCGAGATTCTGGAAGCTTCCAAAACCGCATGAGCTAGTCGGAAATGCCATCAGAAGCTCAGCGCGAGGATCCTACCAAATTTTTGGGGGTTAGCATTGCACTGTTATTTTAAATTCCTGTATCCTGTAGGGTCTTGAGGCACCCTGAGTTTCCCAGCTGCGCATCGACGCGGCTGAGCCGTCGATTAGAGAAGCTTATGTTCAAGCGAGGGATGGGTCCTTCTGACTGCGCTTCTAAGATGGAAGCTTTAGGCCTCAAGAGTATGTCTTCCAGGACTAGGATGACATGATTACTGTAGGGGCCTTAATAATTCGGCTTTGCGGTATACTATACTACTATTATAAAAAGGAGCCCCCAAAACCCTGTCCTAATTATTCAGGCCCCTGCACCCTTAACCCGTACAGTAGCCCTTATAGAACCCTTTAAGGAACCCTTTAGAGGAGCCCCACAAGCCTATTCTAATTATTTAAGGCCCCTACAGGACACGCTATTTTTGAAGGAGGATCAGCCCCCAACCATGATCATCCACATACGGTTGATGATATAAATCCTGCACTACCTTAAGGACCCTGAACTATGGGAGTTATAGTATATTCCTTACTTTGCGTAATGCCTGAATTATGGGAGTTATAGTAGGTGCAGTATATTCCTTATTTGGGGTAAGGCCTAAACTACCAACTATGGGAGTTATGGTCTATTCCTTAGTATGGGTCATGCCTAAACTATGGGAGTTTTAGAAAAAACCATACTTTGGGTAGTGCCTCTAAACTATGGGAGTTATAGTATATTCCTTATTATGGGTAATGCCTATAAACTATGGGAATTATGGTAGATTCCTTATTATGGGTCATGCAGGATTTTTATCATGAACCGTAGGAAAGCTCCGTTGTCGAAAGGTCGGGTGCCCTGCCAGAGTTTAGGGTTTAATAGGGGCTCCTTGGAAAGGGTTCCTTAAAGGGTTCTATGAGGGCTACTATAAGGGTTTAGGGGTTTAGGGACCTCAACAGTCAGAATAGGGTTTTGGTGGTATACTGTGCTATAACTACAATAGGGAAGCGCAAAAATAGTATAGGTCCTAGGTAATTATTAAGGCCCCTATCTTAGGGCTTAGCTTTAGTTCTCGAGCTCCTTCTATCAAGGTTCAGATGCAGGACAGAAAATCTTAAAACTCAGATCCAGGGGCCCGAAAGCCGAAGTGGCCCAGTGAGCCGCGGCGGACCCTAAACCCTAAACCGGTTTAGGGTTTAGGGTTTAGGGTTTAGGGTTTAGGGTTTAGGGTCTGTCCTCGACCTGTGATTTCGTATGTCTTCGCGCGCCGAACATCCCCTTTGCTTATACACCTGCGCCCTGACGAATACATCCCGACATCAGAACCAGAAGCGTAAAGCATCCTACCTGTAGTCTCCATTGTATTTCTTTTAGTTTATCCAAGCCTAGGCTGTCTAGTAAGGATCGTATAAGGTATCCCCAAAAAGGAAGTACAGTGGAGACTATAGCTAAGGCCCCTAATCTGCAAGCCTCGGAACTTGCAGTGCCAGGCCTCACAATCGGTACGACGGCCGATTGCCACAATGCCGTCCTCAGGAAGGGGGAAAACCTGCCGGCTCAGAAAGTGTGCTTTGGAGTTTGGGATTTAGGGTTTAGGGTTAGCATGGATAAACGAAAAGAGCTGCTGCTGTTGTTCGGATGATGGGGAAAATTACCTGCGATTGCCTTAGCAACCCTAAACCCGAAAACCTAAACCTTAACCCTAAACCCTAAACCCTAAACCCGAAAACCCTAACCCCTAAACCATAAACCCGAAAACCCAAAAACCCTAAACCCTAAACCCTAAACCCGAAAACCCGAAAACCCTAAACCTTAAACCCTAAACCCTAAACCCTAAACCCGAACCAGGATTCGCCGGATTCGCCGAAAAGGTCGTCGCCTTGTGGTCGTCGTCGCCCCAAACGCTGCAAAGTCTTCAAGACAGATAAACCCTAAACTTTAAACCCAAAGCCCTAAACCCTAAGCCCTAAACCCTAAACCCCAAGCCCTAAACCCTAAACCCGAAGCCCTAAACCCTACACCCGAAGCCCTAAACCCTAAAACCCCAAACCCGAAGTTTTCCTTCAAGGCGCCTGGCCACTGCTGAGATCCACAAGGCGTGGCACGCCGGAAGAAGTTGCCTCAGAAAGCAACGCTTAGGGTTTATAGAGTTTAGGGCTTTTAGGGTTTAGGGTTTCGGGCTTAGGGTTTCGGGTTTAGGGTCGCGAAACCCCTACACCCCAAAGCCCTGGGACTTTGGATTCAAAGCTTGAGCTCCGATTTCTCTCCACAGGCTCCAAGGTTACAGAGGGAGAAGCATTCGGCTTTGGTCTTTGCAGTCCCAGGGGGGCCGTACTATATTGAGCATCTAAAAGGGACCCTAGTTTAGAGAACTGCCCATATGTCAGGTTCGGTGTTGTATAGAATCTGAGGCTTAGGGCTCACCGTAGCTCTCTGGCGACAGATCCTCAGATCTCCACCTTCGAAACAAACCCATTGCATGTTATTCTGCATAGAAAAAGCCATGCGCCCATGACTTAGGGCTAAGAACGTCGGGTACGCACTATGACGAAAGCCCTTCTTGCAAACAGTATCACGCCAGGTTTGCCAGAACCCGCAATTGGGCCTATGAGCCATCCTACAAATCTCACAAGATCACATAGGACGACAAAACTCTAAACCAAAAACCCCTAAACCCTAAAGACTCAGGGAATAGCCGTGTTTTCGAGTTTTTGGGAGGAGGGCTTGTGCTTGTCTCGACTCAACGCAACCTGCACCGAGCCTGCCCCAACCAAGCGCAATACAGGGGCCTTAATAATTAGAATAGGGCTTTAGGGGTATGCTAGACTCCAAAAAGCAACACTAAGGAACAGTATTCGTAACTATTCCGACCCCTACAAAACAGGAAGCCACTTCGCCTCCTTGGCTTGCAGCACTGCAACTGCCACCTGTCACTGTGATCAGTTCCGAGCTCAGGCACGGGAAATGGAAAAACCAAGCAAACAGCGCAGTAATGATATTCCTTAACCCACCAGAACCTACTTTTTTGCAGGGTCCCTATAAATTCGATATTAAGGTTTATACTAAGAACCTACAGTGGGTTTTGGTAGGTTAAGGTTAATGGTATATTACCGTATAACATAGCAGATTCGAGTATACTACATAATTAGAGTATGTTGCAATAATGTTTTTTTGTAGTCCCTAGAGGCTTCAATGATTGCCAATACTATTTTGGGGGCTTCCTTAGCATAATCATAGTATAATGGGCTCCAACATCCTATTCTGATTCTCAAAACCCCTATGTTAGTCCCTAGACCCTAAGCCCTAAATGCTGAACCCTAGACCCGAAACCCCCTAAACCCCCTATAAATCCTAAAACCCTATAAGCCTAAAGTCCCTACCTTAAGAATCCAAAACCCACTTTTTTGTAGGTTCTTATTATAAACCCTAATATGGGATTTATAGGGACCCCACCAAAAAGTAGGTTTTGGGCTCTTAAGGTAGACCCTA